AGCGGCCGCGCCGAGGGCCCTGCTCCGCCAGTCCCGTGCCGTGCCGTCCCCGCGCGAAGGCGCCGCCCGGCGGGGATGCTGCTGCCCTTCGGCCCCGCGCTGCCCGCCCCCAAAGAGGACACGGCGTGTGCGTGTCCCACGGGGCCCCCCGTGGGAGCCTCTGTGTCCTCCCACGCGGCCCCGCACAGCGCACCTTGGACCTCGGGCTGTGATCGCCCCTCTGCTCCCTCTGGGGCTCTCGAGGACTGGCTGCCCGCTACTGACATGGGAAGGGCGGAGGTAGCAGCCCACTGAAAATGAGGAGCCGGAGCGTGGCTGCGTGGTGCTGAGCGCTGTTTCCAGCTCTGCAGCAGGATGTGATCACATCGCTGGGCTGGTTTATGCTCAGCGCCTATAGAAAAGGTAAGGGTTGGAGGCAGAGTTTAGCCATACTTGGGATTCAGCGGTTAGTCCGCAGAAACAGCTGGAACGCCACCGGCGCAAACATCCCAATGAAGAGAAGGAAGGAGCAGTGCAAACCAGGTGCCTTGGCTTCTCAGAGCCATCTCAGGGGTGCAAACCCAGTTCGATAGAACTGGCTTCCACGGAGGGAATCACAGCGGATCCCGAACACGGACAAGCCTTCATTTTAAATAAAAGTTCAAATCTTTACCCCAGGTTCACGTTCCTACTTGCAGAGAGCACGCTTCCCTGAGGTTGAATTTAACCTTGAAAGCCTTAATAGGCTTTTTTTTCTTTCTTTGTAATACCAGTAGTTTGGAGGTAAAGTTAGTAGAGGGATGTGTGTGGCCTCAGCTGCCTAAAATTTTTTCCTTTCCATAGGAAACTGTCTATACTCGGAGTAAATTCAAGTTTGATTTTTAGAAATGGTAAAATTAGAGTAAGTAATATCAGACTGAATATTATGTGTGTTACTGCAAATGATGGAAGATGGGATTTTAATAAATGATCAGTATTAGCCTAAGTCTTCTCTTGACTTCAGTGGAGCTTTTCAAAGCTAGACTGATTGAATCTTTTTGCTCAAGGCCACTTAGGCCTCCAAAGATGTAGCTAAGGAGAACTGATTAAACTATATGGTGTGTTCCCAGAGGCAGATTACACATCCACGGTTTTGTGTGGCATTCCCATTCATACATTGTTGCTCCCTGTGTGGTACCTGCCCAAACCTGCAGCCTACAGACCACGTCCAGCTTGCATGGTCATGGTATACTCCCCATGGGGCTCCTCATGGGTTGGAAATTTGGCAGCAGGAGAGCAGTGGCAGTATTAATTGACACAGCTTCCAGAGTGGCGGTAATTAACACTGCCACCACTCCCCTGCCAAATTTTTGGGTATACAGAGCGCCTAACAGGCCAGAGGACAGAGCCCTGTGTTCCAGTGCATGGGCTTACTCCACAGTCAGTCTGGCACATGGAGTTGGGCCAGCGCGCTGGCTCCAGCCATGGTCAGATCCAGCTCACAGGAGCAGGCCAGTGGCATCTAGTGTGCAGGATTGGGTTGGCAAAGTAGGATCTTTGTGGCTGGATCCAGCACACCAGATCAGACCTGTGGGCTAATTCCACACTGGATCAGGCCTGGGTCTGATCCCACCCATGGACTGACCCTGTGACACTCATCCGGTCCATGGGGCTGAAAGGTTGAGCACCACTGCTTACGCTGATGGCCAGCCAAAGTTCCACATGCTTCTTACCTAGAAGGATTACCTAGTTTCTAGATCCAGCATCAGAGCAACTAACCTCCTCTAAAGAGCCAAATAAGTCAGAGATGATCCTGGTGGTGAGTAAAATATTGGAAAGATCTGGATCCATAGCTATAGTGCAGTGGGGGGCTAGATCCAGTGAAGGACTTTGGCCCCTGGAGTTGAATCCAGAACCTTGAGTGAGGTTCTTAGGTCCCTGGTCAGCGTACATGCCTTGGAATTGGATTTAGGTGCCTTGGAATAGGATCTAAAGGGACCAGCAGAGCAGAAGGACTGCCTAAAGTCATTGTGTTCACTACAGCCATCTAGACTTAGCCAACAGAAAATGCTGAGGACTGGGTGAGTCTTAAATCTTGCCTCTCACACACCTTGCTCCAAGTGGCACCTCTGTACACTTGGGACCTGTGCCCCTGACCTGTCTCCTAAAGACAAGTGCCTTTTCTTTGAAGTAACTGAGCAGGATTCATTTTTTTAAGCAGCCCCTGAAGGAAGAGGAGTTGGTTAAGGTGGTGTGCCTTTCTGTATACTAACCTAATGGGCATCTACAATGTGGGAAACCCAGTTAAAATCCTCCACTCTGCCTGTCAGCAACCAATATCTCCCACCAACCTGGAGAACCCAGTTAGAGGTTACTCTGAAGTTGCTCCTTGCTGCTACGAATGTTTCTGTACTTTACACGAAGCAGTCCTGGGAACAGGGACCAGAATCCAAGATCTGCCTCCCTGATAAGTTTCTTAATGAGTTGTGCTATCTCATGCTATACATGGCCCAATGCACAATGGCTGTCTTTGTACCATGATACAGGTTCAACAGGAGGAGCAGAGAGTTCTCAGCCTGCAGAATAGCTGACAGCCAGGTGGTTAGGTGATCATGTGGAAGACATGGTTTTTGATCCCTGCTGCATCTGAAGAGAATTGAACCTGGATTTCTCATTTTCTGGTGAGGTGTTTTTAACTCCTACCATTATTGCATACAAGAGGCTGTGACATGAACTATGATGACAATATTTTTTAGAAGTGGTAGCCAGCACTGCATTGATTCTGTCAGCGCGTGTTCAATATGCACTGAGATTCCTTACCAGATCTGGTTCCCCAGGTGCCCCGAGCAAAAGAATGCCTAGTTTGGGGGCTGATGCATGATAGGCACTGAGCTGACCGTCATGAGGCAGTTCTGGGCATGTACAAAAGCAGAAGTAACAGGCAGCTAGGGTCAAAATGTGTGGCATATATGGGTTTTTGGTTGCAACTGTGTTGGTCTAAGGACATAGGCACTCAGAACCTTGCCTGGCATATATGGGTGTTTCCAAGGTTAGATGGCAGCGGAGTGGGGTTTCAAGTTTGGTAGAATTTAGACACTTAAGTTCTTAAGTCTACAATAGACACTGAGGCTATGCATAACATTTTGTTTTCACTGAAGTTAATTGATAAAACTTCTAATTGACATCTGTGAAGCCATGATTTCATCCTCTGTCTTCAGATTGCAAAACAGAGTGAATTTGACCTGGAAGTAATGAAAGACTACATGGAACCCTGTGACACGCTATGGGGAGAATCGCTTTAATCTCAATTAAAGTGATAATACGAAGTATGTGTTTATTCCTATTTTTTCATGTGTTCTTTTAGGAGCCAGAATATTACTAATTTCCTTTATCATCTCTTCTTTTTGTTATTTCTGAAATAACTGATTTTTCCTTCTGTTTCTCAGAGAACACCATCCAAATGGATTTTCCTTTCTTGACTCTGCTGTTGTCATAAGCCTCCCTGAAAATGTCAATGTCATCAGTATAATTCTGGGAAGTACAGTTTAATTGGTTATCCTGCTGGCTTGGTGACTGTCCTTGCAGCAGCAAAACAAACTGAATAGCAGACCAGCATAAACTGAGCCAATTTTCCTACTTTTTCCACCGTTTTCAAAATTTCTCAGTGGAATGGCATATTTCAAAAAATGCGTATAGGATCCACAGTATACTCCAAAGCCAGCATACAACATTTTAAGACAGGTTAAATTTGGAGTCTAAACTGCTTGTTTGCATCTTTTTCAATCATTTGAGCTATCAGTTCTGATCTTTATCTAGAATCTTACATGCATAGTTTACCAAATCAGTTCTTCTGGCAAATATGACCAGTGTTAGTTCATACCTCTTGACTACATATAGGTTTCTTATGGGGTTTGTTCTGGTTGTTCTTTACAAGATCTTATTCCATTTATTTTCTTTATAGGTCAGTGGCCTAAGACTCAGGAGACCTGGATTCTATTCCTAGCTTTTCAACTGAGTAAGTTGGTTCACTTCCCTGTGCCTTTGTTTCCTTTACTGTTTTATCTGTCTGGTCTATTTAGATGGTAAGCTATTTGAGACACAGACTGCAGTCTTGGTTAGGGTCTGTAGGGGCCTATATGATAATAATAATAATAATAAGCCAATATGATACTAAGTCACTAATCATTCGCAAATTCTAAGTTAGCCAACAAATGAATTGCCAGCAAAAATCGTTGGTATGTTTACTTTTCTAATACCCTATCTGTTGTTAATGGAACCAGAAATTACAACACAGTTAAACTACATACCTGCTTAACACATATTTAAAAATGGAGCAGATAGATTTGCAGTTTTCCATGAACTGAAATGCATATTACTCTGCACAGCTCAGTCAAAAAATTGGTACTTCATGGCTTTTGTTACTTAGACACATTCACCATGTGCCACAAAATGCTGCCTGTCTGGTATATGAGAGTGGTTTGCAGCTCCTGCTGGGCTGTATTCTCACAGGCAATAGTCTGAGATAAATAAAATGAATAATATTTCTACTTTAAAAGATTAACATTTTATAAATTACTTGGATTTGTTTGTAAAAGAAAAATATTACCTATGGTGTAATGAAATCTACTCTCAGATAGAAGAAGGGCTTCTCAGAAACAATGACTACTGCAGTTGATCATTTTATTTTGGCAGACTTCTATTCCTCAGTATGCAAATAATTTTATTGAATTGGACAGATGAATAAACCACGGATGGATGAGTGTAATCCATTCAGTGGTGTATGCAGCCAAAGCCACTTGAAGTGCATCACAAATCCATATGATTGTC